CAAAAATCAAAGCCTGATGAAAACGAGGTTATAGGTTATATATCCTCGTTTGCCAGAGCCTCCTTCCTAGAGCAGAGCCCAGCTGGCGAGCGCAGGAGGCGGGGTTTCCGTTGCTTTGCACCCTTTTCGGGCGCGCGGGGTTTTTCGCGCTTACCGGCAACTGCTCCCAACTCCTTTTTGCAAGACACTGCCAGCATTTTTCCTCCCACCGGAGTGAGAGTACCCATTTATCTACTCACGTGAGTTTTTGACCTGTTGGGTTGACAGGAACTGGGGAGGAAACAGGAGCGCACCCTGTTTAACACGAAGGCTTGACTCAAACCACTGAAGCGTCGACCATTTCTGGCCGGCAACTTTCATTAAACCGCTGCGCCACTGCATCTCCCTTTAAATGCTATTAGTTTCTATTATTAGTTGCTATTAGTATTAAAATATCTTTTTTTTTTCAGACAATATAAGTGGATCTTAAAAATCTTGACTATAATTGTATTGTGTCATAACTGTACAAAACAACTCAGGTGCTAAGAAAGACTACCAAATTCAACTCTTCATATTGCTGGGAAGGGAGAAGAGAGGAGAGAATTAGGTCCAAGTCCTTGGTTTATAGGACATAGAACTGTGCTCTTTATATCTTTTAAATGCTAATAGTTAAGAGTCTGTTGCCTTATTTTCACATAGGCCTAGCATAAGAGATGGGAAATGAGTTTCCAGCAACTATGGTGTGTCTGGGTTTTGGGATGACTCCTGGCTGAACAATTACAGTAATGAAATGATGCAAGAATTGGGCTTTACTTTACAATAATGCTCATAGAATTTGTTCAGTATTCTTTAAATACTCTTATAAAGCATTCCCTTTATAAGATGAACAACTTTATGTTTGGTGAATAAATTATTAGAGACTATTAATGGATTAGAGACTATTAACGTATAACCTGGAATTATAGTGGTAGTCTGAACAAATGCCAATTTAGTAGAACATTGTCTTCATCAGGCTTACTAGCAGAATTAGTATCTAAGCAACAAATGAAAAAGAAAATTCATCTTGTCTTTTCAAGAGGCTTCCAAAGAAATAAAGGTGTAGAGATATTGTGGAGCAAGCCATACTTCAGTAACGGATGATGTTTCAGTCTTCAGTTACAAGTAGCAGGTGACTTGACATTTTTTCCAGTCAGAATAGGCAGGATTGGTCCATCTTAATGGGAAAATATGACAAAAGTATCTTCATTAAAATCCATTAAAATTTAAAATTATTAAAACCACAATGTCAGCACAACCCCACCCCTTTTTTTTGAGATGGAAGTGTGAGATACCTATTTATTCAATTGTAAGTTACCAGTTATTAAGAAAAGTAATCTATTTTTAATTCTTTCCAACCCAATAAAACGTTGGAAAGAAATTAAATGTGTCTGCCTGTCAGTAGAATGACTGTCCAAAAACTGAACCAAGTGGGAACAAATTTAGTATGGTGGGAAAAGCTGGCAAAAGAAAGATCAAGTTTGAAAATGGGATGGATGTAACTGGGGAGCTGTAGAGAAAAATTATCCAGAAAAAAACAATTCCCCAGACATCCTTATGAGAGAGACAGTTGTGCAATGGCTTAGAGTACTACCAGCAATTCCCTTCCAAGCTCCTCTTCTCCCTCCTTTGTATTTGCAAAGATATGCACAACACATCAATACACCACACCAGAATAGCAGAAACACAAAGGCAGTACATTTCTTTGTTATACAGACAAAAATGCAGATACTTCCAGTGGCTACTGTTGGTAGAATTCCAAAAGGCATGTTCTGCCTGCTTTCCCCATCTAGTTTAATTGTTCCTGTGGAGGAGTAAACATCAAAAAAATGATAACATTTTTACAACATTTCAATCAAATCTGGCAGCTAAAAAATCCCCTGCATCATTGGGGAGCTCCTAACCACTCCAAAAATTGGTGGTTCCAGCATGTGACATGTTTCTTGCTGGAAACCTATGCATACAAAGCTGGAATTAACTCCTAAGGAGCTCACTGAGTAGCCATACATAAGAATTCAGGGTTTTGTTTTGTTTTGTTTTGTTCTAAGATTCATTTTGGAAAACTTCAGCTGAATTTTCTTTTTATGAACAGATTATGTCCGGTCTGTTCTTAAATACCTGGATGGAAATCCTTTGAAATAGCAGATGTTCCAGTAAAGAGTTCCTATCAGTTTCTATCAGTTCCTTCATGAATCTTTCAGATGGTGTATATGTTCCAGTTGTTTGAGAAACTAGCATAGAATTGAGTGGCATGACAGAAATGTCCTGGTAAAAATGTGAGATTTCTGAGGTTTCTTCCTGTAATATTTTTGGTGCAGTTGTATGTAAATTCTCAGCCGTGTTGACATACATAAACATAAATAATACATAGTGCTTTTGCTATGGACCAAGCAACACAACTTCATTTACCCACTTTTATAAAAAAGGAAGGAAGGAAGGAAGGAAGGAAGGAAGGAAGGAAGGAAGGAAGGAAGGAA